AAAAATGTGAAGAAAGCCTATTTGAATTGTAAGGTACCATAAAGCAACTATTTGTATTATGGGAGTCCCAGAAGGAGAAGAGAGAGTGAAAGGGCAGAAAGCTTTTATTTAAGAAATTCCCAAATCTAGGAAGAGATACACACATCCAGGTACATGAATCTCATAGGTCCCCATGCATATTCAACCCAAACAAGACTTCATCAAGACACATTATAATGAAACTATGATAAATCAAAGACAGAATTTTGAAAGCAGCACTGGGGAAAAAACCCCCAGCTCATTTCATACTAGGGAATATCCAGAAGGTTTTCAGCCGATTTCTCAGCAAAAACTTTGCAGGCTAGAAGAGAGTGGAAACAATATAATCAAGATGCTGAAAGAAATAACTAACATTCAAACAAGAGTACTATAACTAGCAAAGCTGTCCTTCAGAAATGAAGGAGAAATAAAGACTTTCCCAGGCAAACAAAAGTTGAAGGAGTTCCTCACCACTATGCCTTCCTTACAAGAAATGCTAAAGGGAGTTCTTCAAGCTGAAGTGAAAGGACACTAATAACATGAAAGTGTAAAACTCACTGGTAAAAGTAAGTAGTCATTCAGAATAATATTACAATGATTGTGTGTAAATCGCTTAACTCTGGTATAAAAGTTTTAAAAAGGTATTAAATGTAACTATAGTTACAGTAATTTTTAATGGATACACAATATAATTTGCAACATCAAAGACATTAAATGTGTGCAGGGGAAGTAAAGTGTAGAGTTTTTATATGTGATCGCAGTTAACTTAAAATAGACTGTTAATAGCAACATTTTTAATGTAAGCCTCATGGTAATCAAAAAGTAAATACCTAGAATAGGTACACAAATAATAAAGAGAAAAGAGGCAATGGCAATAGTAAGTTCTTTTCAGTAATTAAATGTAAATGGATTATGTTCTCCAATCAAAAGATACAGAATAGCTGAATGGATTAAAAATACAAGACAAAACTATATACTCTCTACAAGAGACTCATTTCAATGTTAATGACACACATAGGAAAGTGAAGGATGGAAAAATACATTTCAGGCTGATGTAAACCAAAAGAGCAGGAATAGATATACTTATATCAGATAAATATATACTTTAAGTCAAAATCTGTAACGGGACAAAGAAGGTCATTATGTAATAATAAAGGAATCAATTCACCATGAGGACATAACAATTGTAAATATATATGCACCTGACTTCAGAGCACCTAAATATATTAAGCAAGTATTAACAGATCTGTAGACAGAAATAGATAACAATGCACTAATAGTAGTGGATTTCAGTATCTCACTTTCAATGATAAATAGCATCCAGATAGAAAATAAATAAGGAAATATTAGACTTTAAAACAAGTGGCCCTAAGTTTACACCCCACCCCCCACACACATACAATATTCCACCCAACAGCAGCGGGATGTACATTCTTCTTAAGTGCACATGGGACAATCTCCAAGACAGATCATTAAATCACAAAACAAGTCTTAACAAATTTATGAACATTAAAATCATATCAGGTTATTTTTTCCAACTGAAGTGGAAACCAATAACAGGAAGAAAGCTGGGAAATGCATGAATACACGGATATTAAACAACACTTTGGAATAACCCATGGGTCAAAGAAGAAATCAAAAGGGAAATATATCCTGAGACAAACAAAAATGGAAACACAACATACTGAAACTTATGAGATGCAGCAAAAGCAGTATTGAGAGGAAAGTTTATACTACATTAAGAAACAAGATCTCAAATAACCTAAATTTATATCTGAAGGAACTAGAAAAAGAACAAGCTAAGCCCAAAGTTAGCAGAAGGAAACAACAAAGATAAGAGCAAAAATAAATGAAATGGACACTAGAAAAACAATAGAAAAGATTAATGAAACTAAGAGCTAGTTTGTTTAACAGTTAAGCAAAATTGACAAACCTTTAACTAGACTAAGAAAAAAAAGAAAGGACTCAAATAAAATCTGAATTGAGAGAGGAGACTTTACAAGTGATACCACAGTAACATCAAAGAATCATAGGACTACTATGAACAATTATACGACAATGTTTTGGAAAATCTAGGAAAAAAAAATTCCTAAAAGCATATAACCTACCAAGACCAAATCATGAAGAAATAGAAAATCCCAATGGACTTAAATCTATATTCAATAATTTCCCAACAAAGGAAGGTCCAGACTAAATAACTTCACTGGTGACTTCTGCCAAACATTTAAAGAAGAATTAATGCCAATCTTTCTTAAACTTTTCCAGAAAAATTGAAGAGGAGGCAGCACTTCCACAACTCAGTGAAGTTGCAGGATGCAAATCCACATGCAAAAATCAGTTGTATATGCAAACACTAAAAATGAACTATTTGGAATATAAATTAAGAAAGCAATGATATTTATAATAGCATTAAAACAATAATATATTTAGAAATAAATTTCACCAGGGAGATGAAGACCTGTCACTGAAAATATGAGATATTGATAAAAGAGACTGAAGTAAATGGAGCTATCCTATATTCTTGGATTGGAAGAATTAATATCATTAAAATGTCCATATTACCTAAAGCCATCTACAGAGTCAATGCAATCCCTATCAAAATTTTAATGGCATTTTTTTTTTTTTACAGACATAGGAAAAACAATCTTAAAATTAATATTGAATCACAAAAGACCCAAAATAACCAAAGCAATCTTGAAAAAGAACAAAGATGGAGGCATCTTCATTTCCTAATTTCAAACTATATTACAAAGCTATAGTAATCAATGCCAGTATGGTACTGGCTTAAAAACAGTCACATAGACCAGTAGAACAGAATTGAGAGCCCAGGAATACAGCCATGCACACATGATCAATTAATCTATGACAAGGGTGCTAGTTACACACAATAGGGAAAAGATAGTCTCTTTAATAAATGATTTTATGAAAACTGGATATCCACATGCAGATAAATGAAAGTGGATCTATTTCTCACCACTCAGAGAAGAATCAACTCAAAATGCATTAAACATGTAAGACTTAAACATGTAAGACCTGATACCATTAAAGTCCTTAAAGAAAACATAGGAGAAAAACTACTTGATATTGGTCTTGACAATGATTTTTTGGATCTGATCCCAAAAACATAAGCAACAAAAGCAAATATAAGTAGGACTACATCAAACTAAAATCTTCTGCATAGCAAAAGAAACAACAAAACGAAAAGGCATCCTACAAAATGGGAGAAAATATTTGCAAGTCATATATTTGATAAGTGGTTAATATATAAAATATGTAAGGAACTCACACACCTCAGTAACAAAAAAGCAACAGAAAATAATCAAATAAAAAAATGGGCAGAGGGCATAAAGGGACATATCTCCAAAGAAGACATACAACTTGTGAACAGGTACCTAGAAAGGAGCTCAACATCACTAATCATCAGAGAAGTGCAATTCAAAACCATAATGAAATATCTCCTCATACATGTGAGGATGGGAATGCAAACTGGTAAAGCCATTATGAAAAATAGTATGAGGTTCCACAAAAAATTAGAACTAGAACTATCATATGATCCAGCAATTTCACTTCTGGGTATATGGCCAAAAGAAATGAAATCACTATCTTGAAGAGATATCTTTACCCACATGTTCATTGCAGCATTATTCTAATAGCTAAGACATGGAAACAATCTAAAGTGTTAATAGTTGAATGGATAAAGAAAATGTGGTAAATGGAATATTATACAGCTTTAAAAAAAGAAGGAAATTCTGCTATTTGTGACTACATGGATGGACATGAGGGTCATGCTAAGTGAAATAAACCAGAGAAAGACAAACACTGATCTTAATTACATGTGGGATCTGGAAAAAAAAAAAAGTTGAACTCAGAACCAGAGAGTGGAACGGTGGTTGCCAGAGGCACAGATTAAAGAAGCATTTGAACATCTCAATAGATGGAGGAAGGCATTTGATAAAATTCAAAATTCATTAATGACTTTAAATGATAGGAACATAGGTATAAAATTTATTTTTTTAATATGACAAAGGATATCTATTTTAAAAACAATAGCAAATATTCCTAATTGATGATATCTTGTATGCTTTCTTTTAGAGATGGAAGAACAATATAGAGATACCCATTATCACTACTTATTTTCAGTACCCTACTGGAGGTCCTAGATAATGCAATATGGGGATAAGATGTAAAGAATTTAGGGAAGGAGAGAAGCAGGGAGGGAGAGGAAGAGGAGAAGGGGAGAAGGAAATAATTAAAAGAAAGAAAAGCAATAGGATTGAAGAAGCCTGGGCCCCACCTCACACAGGGAGATCTGAATTTCTGTGAAAGGGCCCCATCATCCTCTTTCGTACCTTCCAGGTGATTCCACTTTGCAGCCAAGTTTAAGAGATAGTGGCCTGTCTACTTTTTGTAAATATTTAAGTAAGTGTCATGGTAGTTACACCATAGCTTTATTTTTATTTGAAGAAAATGCCATTGATTTCAAAACAATGTTTTCCAAATCAAATATTTGCCTGTTTGTGTTGGTTCCAACTTAAGGTATGCTTCCTTCTATTATCTGTTCCAATATTAACCACTCTTTAAGTGGAAATAAATATATAATTCACGCCATGTAGTAAGATGCTCAGAGCTGAATGATTATTCTGATTTCTCAGTGTAATTCCATATTGGTGATACATAAAAGTTGATGTTCCTGTTAACATTACTACTTTTTATTAAAAATTTGGACAGAACGAAATAACTACCTTATTCTAATGAAGCCCTTGATATTAAATTTATTGCATAGAGACATATTATAATTCTTTCCAAGGAACATGTTTGTTAAACTTTCCCCATTTTGAAGTTGACACATCAGAGAAAAAGAGAAGGGACCAGTATGTGGGGCACTGCCAGCTCACAGAGGGCATTTTTTTTGGCCAGCAGAGTGCCAGGTAAATAGTAACAGAGTAGGCCAGTACAGAGGCATTTTTTCCTATCTCTTCTAGATCCAGCACCCTGTAAAGACCAGCTGTCCTTGAAGGAAAAATCCGGCTTCCCAGCCAGTCCACAACTTCCGAGCCAGCCAAGCTCCAGGGGTGCCCCTGGGGGTGTACCAGTCCCTTTGGTGCCATCCTCTCCTCCCATGACTTCTGTGCCCCAGGACATGGCTGCACCAGCTGCCAGCCCCAAGCCAGAGCCAGCAATGGGGGCTGCTGTGCAGGCAGGGGGTCCAGGGACTTCTCAGGGGATAGCTAGTGAGCACGAGACACCCCAGCCCCTGGCAGAGACTCATGATGCCCAGCTTGCTACAAGGCCCCTGGGTGTGGCCCTAGGGCCTTGCACCTCCCCTCCAGAGGCCCCCCAACACCCTACAGGTCTGGAGGAGCCTGCCTCAGCCAGGGAGGCTAGCGCCCCGGGGGAGATCCTGCCAGCTCCAGCCCCTGTGCCCAGTGCCCCTGGTGGGACTCCCCAGCTTGCCCTAGGCCAGTCCCTAACCTCAGTCCCTAATGTGGTGGGGGCCGTTAGCCTGGCCACTCCCCAGCTTCCCAGCCCCCCACTTGGGCCTGCCATCCCCCCGCAGCCACCTTCAGCCTTGGAGTCAGATGGGGAAGGGCCACCTCCTAGGGTGGGTTTTGTGGACAGCACCATCAAGAGCCTGGATGAGAAGCTGCGAACTCTGCTCTACCAGGAGCACGTGCCCACCTCCTCTGCCTCAGCTGGGACCCCTGTGGAGGTGGGTGACCGAGACTTTACCATGGAGCCCCCAAGAGGGGACTGGACCTACACAGAAGCCTCTGGGGGAGACCCAGCCCTACTATCCCAGCTTGCGGTGAGTATTGGCCTTGCTCTAAGAGGCGCTGGCACAGGGCAGAGGTCTGGACAAGGATGGGGGCCAGCTCAAGCCTATGCGAGCAGGCACCCTGGCTATGCGGGCCATCCTGTTCTCAGAGACCCACCTCTGCTTGACCTGCCCAGGTGTTTTACAATGAGTGGCCCATTTGGGGAGGTGGGGCATGCGTGTGCAGGGTCAGGACCAGGCTGGGACAGCCTAGTGTGTATGAAGTGCCCTGCTTCGAGCATCCTCGAGAGGAAGAGCCCAGCCTTTGGACAGGAGGAGAGGATTTGCAGTTTTACCTGCCGAAGTGTCAGCAAGTGAGGCTCATGGCTCTTTCCTTTCTGTTTCTTTCTCTAGTCGGACAAGTCAGAAATGGCTCCTGGGCCTGGGGACACATTGAAGCAGGCCACATCCTCACCAGTGGCAGGTAATGAGCCCCAGGTCACTGGCCCTGCCCCCAGTGTGCACAAGGTACCACCCAGCCTTCCTTGCTCCAGAGCATTCTGCATCTCCATCCTTCATCCTTGCAGCATCTTGGATGGAAACCAGACATGGCAGAGCCTGTCATGATATCTTAGGGTGTGATCACGTCCCAAGGAGAGAAAGTCCCTGTCTGTGGAAATGAATGTCAGTCCCCCCATCCAGCCTGCCCAATATGGCTTTCTTTTGGCATGTGTGGGTCTCAGCTCAGACCAATCTCCCACACATCAGCTCCTTCTGCTGTTATTCACTCTTCACAGCAGTTTTAGGAAAGCAGGTCAGAAGTATCATTCTGTAGTTGGGGAAACTGAGACAGCCTCAGATGACATGGACCTTCCCTAAACACTGGAGCAATAGGGTTAGGAATTGGCCTTATCGATCTACTACTTCCAGGACCTCATGAGACCCTTTTATCCTCAGAACATGCCAGGGTGAGACCGTCAGGTGATAGAGATGGCAGGTGAGACAGGGTGTTACCATCAGGTGTCTAAAAGGCCTGACTGTGCTTAAGGGTCTGGAGCAGGTGCCTGCAGGGTCCCGAGTTGTATTGGACTGAGGCCTCCTCCCTTCCCCAGATTCTAAGATGTCTCCTGTGAAGTGAGGGGGTTAGTACAGCTTCTCATGGCTCCTTTCCCTCCTACACGCTGCCCTCCCACTGCGATTCAGCTAGCCTTGAGCCATTCTTGCTTTTGCCCTTGGCACCAGTACAAGTAATAATTTTGATGTTCCTACAGCAGCATCATCTTTGAGCAACATGCTGGGAACTGATGGAGGATGGGTGGCCTCAGGTTCACCTGCAGCGTCCAGTGCCCCTCAGGTAGGTAGTTTTCTGCTGAGGTGATGAGATACTCGGCCGGTTGGTGGGGTTTGCTCTCTGCTTGTGTTCACATGGAATCTTTTCCTTTCCTCTATTTCCCAAGGATGCCCCCACTTCTGCCATCCCTGCACATCCGGAAACCACAGATCAGAGTAGCAGGGTCCTTGGGGAAACCTCTGCTGAGCCCACGCAGCGCTGCCTGGGGATGTTGACCAAGGGCAGTCAGGCCATCCAGTTCCAGACACATGGCATTATGGCCTCAGGGTCCCCTCCGAAGCGGCCACGGCAGCAGGATGGCAGCTCACCAGCCAAAACTGTGGGCCGGTTCTCGGTAATCAGCACCCAGGACGAATGGACCCTGGCCTCCCCCCACAGCTTGCGGTACTCTGCTCCACCCGATGTGTACCTACAAGAGGGGCCCCAAAGCCCTGACATGAAGCTGGCCCTGCGGCGAGTGCAGACGGCCTCTTCCATCGAGGTCGGCCCTGGCGAGCCCGTGTCCAGTGACTCTGGGGACGAGTGCCCACGCCGGAGGCCTTCTGTGCAGAAGCATGGCTCCCTTCCTGGGAGTGGCAGCAGTGTGGCCAGCGACTTCGTCAAGAAGGCCACTGCCTTCCTACACAGGTCTTCAAGGGCTGGCTCTCCGGGCCCAGAAACACCCAACAGGACGGGCGTGAAGGTCCCTACCATCAGTGTGACCTCCTTTCACTCCCAGTCATCCTACATCAGCAGTGACAATGACTCAGAGATTGAGGATGCCGACATTAGGAAGGAGCTGCAGAGTCTTCGAGAGAAGTAGGTCCTGTAGGATGGGTAATAGGCTGGTATGGCATCCAGGCCATGGTGTCAGGGTGCTCCAGGTTTCACCACATGCCCTTGGAGCTTGAGCCAGATGACAGGGTAGAGGCAATGTCACTGGCCAGCCTAGTTTCTGGTCTTGGAGCTGTGCCTCTCCATTTCCTGTGGCTGTCCCCTTCTGGCCTCAACAGGACAGACCCGGTGTTGCTCAGGCCTTCCTCACATTCCCTCTGCCTGCAAGTGTTACCTGCCTCCGCTGTGGTTAGGGTCCCTGAGATACAGCTGCACCCTGAAGTCTCCTTCACGGCAAGAGGGCCACAGTGTAGTTACCATGGTGGGGAGAGGTGTTCTGGGGAAGGAGTGGCTGTTAGCTGAGAGCTCTTAGAGTGGACCTGGAAACTGCCCACAGGGCTATGTGGGCTGGGAGGGGGACCTGATGCTTGTAGCTCTCTCCCCTGGTGCCCTATGATAGCCGATAGTTGGGTGTGGAGCAGCATTAATGTGCCCATTTTCAGGTGGTGTCCCAGGGGGCGCAAACTGGATCCTTGGACACATGCAGAGGGGCTAGTCTGCGCTCTCATGGGGGTGTTGCCCAGAAAGCCTGGGGCCTGGG